TTCCTTGTCGACACGGGAGACGGAAGTGTCGTGCTCGATGTTGCTGTGCCTGTGAAGGACGCGGTCAACGGGCGTCTAAGGGCCAAAGTAAGGGACTTGTTGAGATACGTACAGGCCAATGTCAGCCAAAGAAAACTGGTCTTCAAGGGGTAAAGCGATAATCGCTGCTTTGATGGTGATCAATAGGTTGATCACGATGGACGTTGAAGCCCTCTGAGAGGAGTCGTCAGGAAGGGTGAAGACGTGCAAGTCGGTGGACTATCGCTTATTTCGTCCTATCTCAAGGACCATTGGGATGGTAATGTTTTTGCCATCATGGGGAGAAAACCACGATTCGCTAACCTGTTTGACCGTGGCCGATTAGTTGAAGGCTAGAAACAAGATACTCACGTTTTCACCTAGGACACGATCCTCGTGAATTGGTCTCGGTTCCAGCTTGGAACTGATGCTGCTCCCAGTCCACCGAGTTGCGAAGAATGGTGTAGTCCCTTAAGATGATACTTGGGAGAATAGGGTAGCTAGATCGCCGACTTCGTCTCTTGGAGATATCGTGAAAAAAAAGTCTTCCATTGGAGTTGTGTTGCGTTGGAGTACCGAGGATGGCGATGGACCGGACAGTGACAGCATCATCGGGATCAATAGGCTCTGCCATTTTGACGAGTTTGAGAGAGAGTGGTGAGAGCAAGAGAGAAAAAATGAAAGTTCTGAAAGGTTCTGACTCACAAATTCACATTTAAACGCAATGCGCAGCGGCAGGTAAAGCCGTGAGGGTTTTGACACGACTATCAGGACCTATTGGTTACAAAGATCTATGGCGAGATGGCCGAGCGGTCTAAGGCGCCAGACTAAGGATCAGCACATTCGATGTGCAATACATCTGGTCCTCCGGGGCGTGGGTTCGAATCCCACTCTCGTCACAATGGTGTGGAGCTTGTTAACTTTTTTTTCAACGGTGCGACCAGTATCGTTTTCTTACCGAAGTGAACGACTCCTCAGATATCATGCGAATGGTGTCCTGACCAAAAACTTTTGTATGATCGTGCTCGCAGGGATTGTAGGGGATAGATAGTTACATATAAGTAGATAAGTACTCGCGAGTCATATCGTATATCGAATGCTCGACAGTTCATCCAGGTTGGCCACGAGAGCACCAAACGCCAAAAACAAGATGTACCAAAAAAACACAACCATCCTCAGCCTCACTCCGCCTTCCCCTCAATCTCAGGCAACACCACGCCTCCCAGCCACGCAAGGACGACTTCCACTCTCGGTCCATGTAAAGGGATATTAATCGGCACAGGTTTCTTCATGGGTGGTGCAACTCCGTTCGTTCCATTGGCCAAAACCATTTCTCCCCCTCCCCCTCCTCCACGTTTGGGGTTAGAGCCACCGTTCCCATTCTTGGCTTTGTCCTTCTGAGCTCTCGCAGCCTCCCTCTCCCTTCGAGCCTTCTCAGCTTGTTCTCTCTGTCTCGCAATAACGGGAGCCAGAAGGATACGCACACATTCGAGAGCTTCAGTCGCGTCCGATCGAGGTGGCACCCACGAACCATTCGCATTCGCATCTGCAGCGGGCGCAGAGGCAGAGGCAAAAGCAGAACCAGCCGACGCAGATGTAGACGTAGTAGCACCATCAGGCGTACTACTCCTCGGTGTAGTCGCAACAGACGTACACGCCGAAGACGACGAAGCTGAAGCCGAAGCCTCATAAGGCTGGTACTCCTCGATCTTGGCCACAGGTTCAGGTTCGGGTTCGTACTCGATCCTCTTCCCCTTCCCTTCTCTCTCCATCTCCATCTCCCTAATCTCCCTCTCCCTCTCCATCTCTGCCAACCCCTTGACCCGCCCAACAGTCCACCCCCCAGCAAGCCTCTCAAGCACCTCGATGAACTCGGCTTGAGCCATACTCCTCGGTGGGAGAAACACAGGATACCCCTCCAACCCATCCACCAGAGCCGCCGTACGCGCAAACCGACTAAGAATACCCGCGAAATCGCCCAACAAAAGCATACACAGCAAAATCGAAAAATGCGATTCCACGAGAAGCGGATGATACGTCGTAAACGTCGGCACCGGAACTCGTGCTCCAAACGGCGACGACGACGAAGCAGAAGAAGAGGCAGGAGGCGACACAGGTTGATGCGATCCAGGTCGAATACTCTCCGACAGATAGAATGCGTATTCTGTCTGATTCAACAACGCGATGTGTCGGCACTCTTTAACCCAATCGTACTGTTCCGATTCCGACTCGTTCTCTTCTCCCTCTCCTCCCTCTGTACTGGTACTCGGGGGACGAAAATCGTCAACTCCGATAGGCGGCGGTCCACTTTCCAACGAATCAAAGTGACTGAGGAAACGTTCGTGATCGCGGATGCTCTTCCGGAATAACGTTTCGACTTTGTCTCTGATACCTGTGCCTTTCTTCCCGACGACTCCGACGAACGTCTCCCTGTACACCCGAGCTTTCTCCCCACCGCTCGCTCCGAGAGGACCCTCCCCACCAACTTCGACACCACCATAGCTCCCTTCCTCCAGATAACTCAATCTCAACTCTGCACCATCCACCGTCGGCTTCCTCGTAACCCCTTCAAGTTCAAGCGCAGTCGACTCGATGATATGAACCGCATGCGAAAGATACGCCGCCCCCCTCAAAAACAACAACTGCGGTTCGATCGGCGACGGAGAAGAAGGATACGGTAACGTCGTCGGATGAGGTGTCGGTCCAACCATCGGTTCAGGCGACGGTGCAGTCGTCGATGGTGCCTCGGAGGAATCTTCATCGCCCGCACCCGTAGCCTGTCCCTGCCCCTGTGGTTGTTTTTTACCCCGTCTCCCATTCCCACCACCTTTCTTCCCCTTCTTGCCTTTTCCACTACCACCACCACCACCACCGTCCACGTCTTTCTCTCTGCCTATGCCTCCACCGACGGCTTCTCCGTGTACGCCTCTCATTTTAACTTTTCGGACTGCGCGAGCTTCTTTGAGTGCATAGGTGAAATCTTTGGTGGCTTGGACGTATTCGTCTTTGAAACAGTGGACGATCCCTCGTGTTCGGTAGAATTCTAGACGTTGAGGTTGCGCGAGGATAAGTTCGTCGAGTGTCTGTGTCGTCGTCGATTCTGCTAGTTGGCTATACGAAGTGGGGGAGAAGGGGATGAGCAGAGGTGGAAAGAGAGAAAAGAGAGAAAGGATACACACCGAGAAGGTATCTTCTCATGAAAGAAATGTACATATTTCGCATCCACATCGTTCGGATCTACCATCATTCGAGGCATGTCAGCCAACGAAAAAAAACAAACAAATTCACTCATCGAACTCACCAAACCTCAACACCCTCTCCGCAAGATCATCAAACACACTCCCCCCTTGCATAACCATCACACTACTCGCAATCTCATCAGCCTTATACGCCTCCGCCAACTTCTGCACCGCAAGCGCGCGCAACCTGTGTATCCGCATAGCGCTCATAGCAACGTTTCGACCGTTGGCATGACCGTTAGGCGTGGGGTTGAATCCGAGAGCTTGCGCAGTGGAGGTTGCGCTAGCTGTCGCGCTCCCGCCCCCACCGAAAAGACCACCACCACCACTACCACCAGGTCCCATACCGGAAGCTCTCAATTCGGCGGCAGACATCCCACTGCTGGCTCTTACACTCAACTCTGCCGCCTCGTCGATGAGTCTCCTGATCGATGCGACGTTTTGGAAGACGCCTGGATCGATAGGTGGCGGTGTTGGTTTGCCTATGCCTATGCCTAATTCTGGTTGCGTGGGGGAAGGGGGGCCGGATACTAGTGACGATGAAGAAGTAGGGAAACCGGGATAGGGATAGTGATTGTAACCGTAGCCGTTCGGGTTGGTGAACGTGCCAACGTCGGGATTGGAGGAGAGGTTGAGAGAATGGAAGCCTCTGTCCCTGTCTCGTTCGCGGTCTCGCTTGACGTTGTTGTAGTTTCCGTTACCGTTACCGTTGCCATTCCCACTGTTGTTGTTGTTGGTATAGTGGGGCGTGTTGGATATCGCTGGTACTGGGCTGCCCTCAGAGGATGTGATTGTCGGTGTTGGTGGTGAAAGTGTCGCAGGATCCAAGTTGAGTACTAAGAGTGATTCGAGAAGTTCGAGAGGCAACTGAAGCCATGGTCCCTGTAAGATCGAGTGGCCACCAATTCAGAACAAATGACGGACGGCAAGAGAGAATGAACGTACATGATAGGAACTGATGTACTTCCAATGCTTGTTCCTGCTGATACAGAGCACTGGAGGCCTGTCCTTCTCTCGTTCTCTCTCCTTCATTCTCTCGCTTTCCTCGCGAGCCTTGACGCTAGCGCTCTTCTTAGGCTTCTTCTTCTTCTTCTTTTTCTTTCCTGTGGCATTTTCTTGCAGCAACACAGCGTCTCCGTCCGCGTCCAGATCCAAAGCGTCGCAGTCTTCCGGCAAAAATTCGGATGAGTCTCTATCTCCGTCTCCAGAGACAAAAACATGTCCGCCTAAGAGTGTCGTGGGCGTCGTAGGCGTAGCAGGCGTTGAAGGGTCCGGGCTCGTCGAGAGTGAGGACGACATCTTGATTTCCCCGTTAAACCGTTCTCCGTTAGGACCTCAGTTCAACACAAACAAGCCTAGTTCGTCCAATCGTCTGCGTTGTCTAGGTTTGTATATCTCACGGCTGTCCGCGAGTAGCAATGAAAGGTTGAATGGAACAAATAACAAGAACGAAAGCTGAATAAGTAGGACCTGGAATGTGGAGGGAATGATGATACCCGACTCTAACGGGTTGACGGTGATGGTGACGGTCTAGCTCAGAAAAAACACTGGCAGGTGACGAGACAAGATTTCTCACGCATCGTTTTAGCGTACCGGACTTCCGGGCCCTGAGGCGATGAATCCGAAATATCCGAAAATTGGAACAACGTCCGAAGGGATCCGACGGAGGTTCAATAGAACCCACGGAAAATTTGCCATACTGTAGGAAACGCGATAAAAAGGCTAAACATCGCGCACGCCCAGTGATGAGAGTGGGATTCGAACCCACGCCCCGGAGGACCAGATAAATTGCACACCGAGTGTGCTGATCCTTAGTCTGGCGCCTTAGACCGCTCGGCCATCTCACCATGGATGTTCGACGCTCTTTGTCGTCTATTGTTCCTCCTTGTCCTCCACCATCACCATCCAAATATTATGGTGCGCTTTCTGCTTTTTTTTTGCGAATTCTGCCCGCCAGCACCTTGCCCTCGTGTGGGAAAATTCGGCCACGGTGGTGGTATCGGATCAAGGAGCCCCTCGCGCAGCTTTCTGTTCTTCATTCATTCATCGTCATAACTTCTGTTGATATCTTTACAGCCAACCAGCTTTCAGCATCTCGCTCATCAATCAGTTCGCCAGGCCCTCGGATTCTCAAAGTCAAACAAGTTTGTTCGAGATAGTGAACGATATTTAGACTACATGAACTCAGCTGGGTGTGACTAATTCGTAGACTCGAGCCATTCACTTCGCCGCGCCCAGTGGTTTCGAGTCTAACTAATTTGTAACTTTATGCTCTACCTCAACTCTCAAGATCCAGTGAGTAAAACTGGGTCGTCTACCCAACTATCGTGATAACTGGTCTACTGATCATGCCAGCTCAAACCCTAATTCCAATATCACCAGGAGATAGCAGTGAGAAACTTCGGGATCTGCTGGTAAATGGCCGCAACTCCGCTTGAACATCTTCCTTGTTCTGCTCAGGCAATTCCGTTTGCACTTTGACTCTGACCATTAGCACAGTGCGTGGACCGAATCACGGATCAAGATGGGGAAAGAGGTCCGAGGAATCCGTCGCTCAAATTGTTCAAACTTCACTGTTGATCTCGTTCTCGAGGGTGGAACCCGTTAAAACCTCATGCTGATTCTGCCTACAAAAGGGTCAGGTTCGCGGTATTCTGACCATCAGCACCCTCCTTCTCTCTTTTCTCTCCGGTTAAGAAACATTCTTCCCTCCTTTCACTTGCATTCATCGCTAATTCAGCCGTACGCTGTAGCATCGCCTCCTTTCATGGAAGCACCCTGGTTGCTAGTCCCTCGTCGGCTGCAAAGTTCAACATCAGGCGCGGTCCCACGAGAAACGACCTTTACTTGGACGAGGCCTATACCAAGTTAGCAATGAACAGATGTTCGATGGCCGTGACGTGATAACGGGTAGCTCATCGACCAGCGACAATACCGCCGGTGGGCATATGAACGATTAGAGGTACTGGACTCGACCGGGCTCTAGTCTCTACCCATCCCAGTAGCAATCCGCGCTGGAACCGTCCTCGAAATGGAACCGTTCTCGAAAGAGCTGTCCACACGACGTGGGTCAAACAGGCAGAAACGACGACCCCTCGGATACACGCTCCCAGGATGACTTCGGAGGTGATTGATATGATTCAGACTTCACTGAGGGCGCTGCAAGATCCCATTCTTCAAGTACCAGGATAGTAACATCATACCGTACGTCCCTACTGGGCACGATCTCCCCCGCCTTCGAGAGTAGCATTCCTCCAACCAAGATCTCGTGCTTACCAGTGGAACTGTGATCCTACTTCTCGTCCTCGCTCGGGTTCCACACGTTCTACCCTATGAGACAAAAGATATCGGGCTAGACTAAATTTCCGGAATCGTTGACAGCTTTGTCTTGATCCTCTTGGAGCTTGCTCAGCCACCGAATCACCTGTGCCGTATTTTGCATCTTGATTCGGTGGTACCACCTCAGCGCCGGCGTGCTACGCATTCTCTTACGATAACCTCGCATTGAACAAAGTTCCTGGACTGTTCAATCATATCACCTTGTCATTTTGCTCCCTCTGAAAGGCAGCTTCTCAGATTTCTTGTCCTGGAAACTCGATCTTAGGACCCATCTCGGAATATCCTCATTCGTGACGTCGGCCCCTGGTAGCCTTCTTACATCTCGAGACGCCACAAGGCGCTATAGCCAAGTGGTTACGGCGACAGATTCGAATGCCACTGAGTTCGCTTTTCATCTGTTCCTCTTTGAGGGCGCAGGTTCAAATCCTGCTGGCGTCGTGAATCATTTTGTTTGGCTATTCTCGACGCCACATCATGAACGTCTCAGTCAGAAAACAGTATATTCCGTATACTCCGCAGGACTAATACAGTTGAGAACTAGTCAACGTATATACACAGAGATCGTCGACGCGAAAATAACGCGGGACCTTAGCGCGTAAGAGGTCCCCACAGAAATTCATCTTCCCAAGGAAATTCGGAATTATTATGACGAAGGTCCACCAAACGCAACAGAAATCCATGAACCTCACTCGCTTTTGGACGGTCCTTCACCTGCTGCGCCCAGCAATCACGTACCATAGCCCAGATGACATCCGGGCACCAGAACTCCGAGGACGGTCGAGGCGGTCTTGCTTTGAGAATAGTAACCTGGAACATGACCGTTGGATCTACAATATCTGCGAACGGTGGTTTGCCTGTGATAATCTGGTACACGGATGCATCGTCATCGCTTATCAGAAGCGTTTTTGAAAGCAGATGAAGAGATTCTGACCTCGAGGACAGTGCATGCGAAAGCGTATATATCACGGGTGAACCTATCATTCCTTATCTGCCCCTCCCCATCGGCGTTGAGGGTGGTGGCGCCATCCCCGAGGTGGAATAGCTCTGGGGCCATCCATCGAAGGGACCCCTTGTGATCATGAGTATTCGTGCGGGCCAGGTTCATCGTTTCAGTGACCATTCTTGCCAACCCAAAATCTGCGAGGCGGCAGCTCCCGCGTTCGTCCACCAGAACGTTAGCCTATAATGTTGGCATTCCAGTCAGCGTCTGAAACAGAAGATAGGTATGCCCAATAACTTGCTCCTTTGATGTCTGCGTGCACGACCTTCTGTTCGTGCAGGTAAGCCATTCCCGCTGAGATTTCGAGAATCTGCAAGTGGCTTAATAACGGAAATTGCGACTAGAACTTTGAGACCTACCGCCGTCAGTCGATCGTGGTCGGGATTGTGCCTCAAGAACGTTATGATATCTCCATTGTCCATCCAAGGTGAGACCAGGCAGAAACATTGCGGGAAAAGTGAGGTGCTAACACCATGGAAAGGAAGTAAGTTCGGGTGGGTAAGCTGAGTCCAGAGTAATGCCTCTTTATAAAACTCCTACAAAAGGGAGGAGCCAGTGCTCAGGCTTGTGGTTGATGATTTTGGGCAATGGACGAACCTCGGCGAGCTTATCCTTCTCGTGCTGGCCGGCTTCAAGATAAATCCTGAGAACCTTAAGACATACCGGTTTATCTCTATAGGTCCCCTTGAATATGTCCTGTATGTACCCCTCAGAGCTCTCTGTGACCGTTAAGTGATGAGCGAATGAACACATACTGCGAACCCGCCACATGCCATTGCTAAATCCGAAGGTCCTTCTTTGACAACCTCGTGTACGAACAATGAGAAGGGCAAGATGTGGTGCTTGTTTACGAGGGTCATAAGACATCTTGAACATCTTCTGCGATACTCAGAATAGATCGGGTCGGATAACAGTGCAGCATCACCGTCATGTCGGAGCTCCTGATCTCCTGAATCAAAGGTCAATCGCAACGACCGTTAAGGCAAGTATGAACCTTCTGGAGTGTGTCAACAACAGCTTGTCTCCACCACTGGCAGTCCTCCATCCACTCCACAGCTGTGCTGACACCTTCGTCGTTTGATAGTGCCGTTCGTAGGTCCTCGGTAACCATCTGATGGCAAAGATTGTCTGAGGTTCCTGCCTGGAGAATCGTATGAACTAGTGAGTAAAACCCAAGGGGGTTGGAGCGCGACGCACATCTTCCTTACACTCGGGATACCGTCTTGCCAACTCAAAATGAACGTCGCTCAGAAAATCCTCAAAATCAGAATCCGGCTGAGTTGCAAGATTCTGTCGAAAATGATTTCGTCGTGTAGGGAAGTCCTCTTTCATAGGGAGGCAGGGTACTTAACAAACGGCCCAATTGATCAAATCGTAAGGTAAACCAGGGTCTTTGTGGCAACGCACCATGTCTTGCACAGTATCTACGAACCACCTCTTCAAAAATGTCCTTTGAAAGTTCATAAAATTGCTCATTCGTGAGATGAGTGAGCTTCAGTCTATCTTTAGACCGTGAGGCAATGTAATTCACTGGCGAAAACAGAGTCAGTTACAAGTTTCGGGAGATGGGGAAAAATAAGAGTCACGAAGGCTACCCTCCGTAGCTCGATCAACATCTAGAAACATGTCAAGGGTTCGAAAAGTTAATCTGGACATCTCGCGAATAGGACGGTCGGCAAAGGGCACTCCCAGACTCCACTGCACTGGAGGCGCATTCCCATTTCGTCCCACTGCCCCTTCCTCCATGAGCCTACGGGAATTGCCGTTGTCTCGTTCAATACAACTTCTGTCCTCGGGAGGATGTTGCGGTCCCGTGTGGTAGTTCGAGATGCCAGAGACAACTGTAAGGGTCGGGGCAGAGGCTGTCGACTGTATGCAATTCCTATCCAAGTTGGGAGGAGGGCACGAGTCTTTGCGGTGATTCGAGGTCCCAGAGACAACTGTCAGAGTCGAGGTGCGGCCTTTCGACTGGAGAACTCCCATTGGAGTGTTGGAGTGATGAATGGCAGGAAAGAAAGGATCGAGAGAGATGAGAACAGCGACCAGTATTATTGTACTGCTAGACAACGGCAATCAAGACCAGATTCGGTGCAAGCCCCTCCCATACTTGGCGGTATGTGCGCAATTTCCCAAAGGTGCCGGCTGCAGTGGCCAAGAAGCTGTTGAGAGGCACTGCCAGTGTCAGTGAACGTTCGTTGTTTAAACATAGTACAACCACGTGTTGCGACGGGAAGATGTGAGTTCGAGGTATCCACGTGCCCTACGGGCCGACTTGAGAGTGAGTCTAGATACATGATGGTAACAGTACACTAGACACCATGATACAATCAAGGAAATCTTCAACTAACTCGCGGAACGTCGTATGGAAGAGTATACCACGCGAACGGAGATCTCCTGTAGTCGGGTCCCCCGACGTCAATGAGGGTTTCCTATCATTCTTGCCAACCTCAAGTCGGCAAGGTCGGCGAAGTATGAGAAACCACGCTATCACTTCTACACGATGCGACCAACCCTTTACACAGACCATACTATAGATGAATACTACTCTAAACGAGAAATAGGTGAGAATGCTACAGACACACAACAAGGACGAATGCTAAAATCATACTAATAATTTTCGGGAAGTTGGCCAGGTAAGCGGTTTGACGCCGTTATTTTGGTAGACTCAGTTACACTTGGGCAGTGAGTGATTTGATAGTACTTTTGGACATCTGAAGTGTATGCCATATGAGTTTCATGAGCTTGGGTGTTGTGCTGGTCGAGAAATGACTGCTTTGCTGATGCGAGTCCAAATTTCGGCAAAATGGGGTAGTTGGCCGGTTGTGAGTATTCACGGATGATGGCCACTACAGCCCCTAATATAGGTCGAAAACAATGTATTTAGGTGCAGTTCAAGGTTCAAGAGCGTTAAAAACATGTTACAAGTACATACCGATATTAGATACTGGTGATGCGCTGGCATCCTGTGTGGGGAGCCCGCCCCAGACCAATACCAGACATGATTGACACTAGAGCCTCACAGGGAAGTTAATATGATCCTATAAAGCTATATAAACAGCTAAAATAGGTATTTGTGTAGTCTGGATGCCTACGGGACTGGGTGATAAGCCAGATAGGTCCTCGTGAGTGTGGCAGACAGCGTGGGAACAAAATAGACGCCGTCAGAAATTCTATCATATATGGAGGAAAATAGGCCATGGTGACGAGTAACCCGCTCATATGTCTTGCTGGAAGGCACATCTATTGATGTTGAGCTTCTAGAGATAGATATACAGACGAAGTGCGTAATAATTCCCTCAGTGAACTACTGCGACGGCTAAGAAATCACGTAATTTCTTGATTTTCCTGGTTTTTTCCGACCACACCCTGGTCCAAACTCGCTGAATCACACTCAGGTGGTTTCTACAGGTCGGTATAGATTGAATGTACACTATGTGACTGGCTTTGAGTTACTACAACACGGTGACAGCCGTGTGGAGCCCAAGTGGCCAACTTCCCAGGGGTGGCCAACTAGGTGAAGGCCTATAGTACATGCTGCAGACATGGACGGATGATAAATGATGTCAAGGAAAACCTAAGGTGAATGATGTAGATACATAACCAAGAATGAATACGGGCGCGAGAGTTCTTTAACGAGCACATACAACTTCATACAAGTTCACAGGGATACATCCTCCCAATGGGCCCCAGAGTTACGGAGGTTCACCAGCTTCGACAGGAATTCGTGAACCTCGCTAGCTGTTGGACGATCCTGGGGCCTTTGCGCCCAGCATCGCTCAACCAGCGTCCACACGTTGTCGGGGCACCAATAGTTTCCTGGCGATGGTCGAGACGGCCTGGCGTTGTTAACCATGACCTCGTACATGACCGTCGGATCCGTGAGCTCCGCGAAAGGGGGTTTCCCTGTGATGACCTGTTCCACGAGCTCGTAGGCTAAACACGCATGACTATAAGATAGAGGACGAACCTCGAGGACGGTGCACGCAAAAGCGTAGACGTCTCGACTGAACTTGTGGGTCCGATCCTTGCCTCCCCCCATAGTGGCACGAATACCATTACTTGAACGGAATAGCTCCGGAGCCATCCAGCGGATAGACCCCTTCATCTCGCTTGTACTTGGTTTGGCCCGTGTTGTGGAATCGGCGACCGTGATCGCCAGTCCAAAATCTGCAAGGAGAGCTCGGCCCGCTTCATTCACGAGCACATTGGCCTGTAAGCAAGGGGTAAGTGCCACGAGAGGAACAGGTTGCAAGGGATAACTCACTCCTTTGATATCTCCGTGCACAATTTCGCACTCGTGCAAGTGAGCCATCCCTGCTGAGATATCAAGAATCTGGATAGTAAAGTGAGTCAAGCCCGGCGATCAAGGCTCTGAGCCCTACCGATGCCAGCCTATCGTGACCGGGAGTCAATTCCAAAAACCCGATAATGTCTCCGT